GCACGCACGCGCGCACGTACACACACACACCACACACACACACGCACCCTCTTTATCTCACACATTCTCTCTCTCTCTCTCTCTCTCTCTCTCTCTCTCTCTCTCTCTCTCTCTCTCTCTCACACACACACACACACACACACACACACACACACACACACACACACACACACACACATACACACACATTCGATTCGAGTAACACATTTATTGCCGTTCAATATTCAAAATACTCAACACCGACTTTACCGATCTTTCTTATTGAAATCAAACTGCGAAGTCCTGTTTTGAGTACTGTAACCTCTTTCAGTATCTTTATGAATTTATTTTTACAAGTACTCCATCCCACAAGAAAATTGTGCATAGGGTCCTGCGCCCTCACTTATGTTACGAGTTACGAGGAACGCTCTCAAAACCCGGGGCAAGAACAATAACGAGTGCGACGAAATGGGTTACGTAAGGTTTATACTAGACCTACTTTAAACTGCGTCACAGGACAAAGTATCCCGAGATGTTTTTTAAAAAATAGTAGAGGGTTTTACGGCGCTCGCAATTGCATAAGGTCACATGAGTGCCAAGGGGTGGGTGTCAACAGAGAAGTCTTTACAGGGAATCAGACTTATTGTTTGTTTGTTTGTTTAGTATAGGGTTTTACGGCGCTCGCAACTGCATAAGGTCATATGAGCGCGCGGGACACACCTAATACTTTTTCGTTGGTAGGAAATTTTGAATTTTGCCCGGGTGGCGGCCGAAGCCTACTCTTATCGATTTTAGACCACCAAGGGATCTTTAACGTGCGCAACTTGCACACGGGCCCTCCGAGATTTTTCGCCCTTGTCCGAGAAGGCTAGGTGTAGATCTTTCCTACCAGAAGATCAGGGGTGTGGCAGAAAGACAGCAGTTAGGAGGAGCCAAGGAGTAGCAGTAGAAAGGCTGCAGAAAGAGTCAGGAGCCCAGAGGAGGGGGCAAAGGAGGTGAGGGGGTGGGGGCAGAAAGTGGAAATGAAAGCAGACAACAGAACATTGTTAGAGATCAGGAAAGGATGTGAAAGGAGACAATTTTAGAGAAGAAAATTTTTTGGTCGCTACCCGGAATCGAACCCGGGACCTTTGAATGAGAGGCCAACACATTAACCTCTAGGCCACGAGAGCCCCCAATCAGACTTAGACTGCTCACCTCTCTAGCTTCAACAGCACAAGGTCTGCTTCGACTATCAAGGCACCCCGGAAATAGCAGCTCATAAGAGAGTGACAAACATACAAAAGAAGTAGAGGAAAATGACAATAGTAAGGATCAGGAAAGAAAAAGCAGCAGCTCCCTGCTGTAGATCAGGCACAGTTAAGAGCGTGACATGAGTCAGCCCATTTACAATTCTACTAGGCTTGAACGAGAAATGCCCCCCCCCCCCCTTGGGAATGGCCTAAAGACACTGCAGTCAGTGGCACTGCCCCGGGGGTATGACGAGGTTTACCCCGTAAGAAAAGTAGATCTAGTAGGACCCATCAGAAGCACCCTCCAGCTACCCACTATGGTCATTTCGTAAATGTGAAAGTATCCACTTTGATGCTTTTTCTTTCGTTTTGTCAGAACTGTTTTTCTCTCAACGGCTTTAGGCTTGTTTGTTTGTTTGTTTGTTTGAGTAAAGAGAAGCACATCGACACAAAAGTGATCATTTAGTGCTGGGGGAAAAGTAAGACACAGACAGACAGACAGACAGAAGCAACAGAGGGAAAAATAAAGAAGTAGTTCATACTAGAGGCGCCCTCCAACCACCCACATAGCTTTAATCCCTCACTACACAATCCAACACGAGGTGCATCATGCAGAACACCAATCGGCCTTTCTTAAATTGTAACAAGTTACACATTCGTCGTTATTTTTCTGTCTCCTGATTCCTGCCTGTGAACATAGCTGTACAAAAATGACAGCACGGTCGTCCCATGTGTCTTACTTTTAGTTCAGTAACTTGCAACACAATAAGGTCATATAAGTGACGAAGATTAGAAGTGTTGCAAGAGAGTACATGTAACAACAACAACAAAAAAAAAAAGGAAGAGAGATAAGGACGATAGATGTTTGATAGGAAAGGAGGAGCAAACCACACCAGAGCACATGCCAACCACCCACGTCCCATGTGTAATTGGCTATGCTATTCATTGTTACACTGAGAGAGAGAGACAGACAGACAGACATAGACACAGAGACAGAGAGTGGGATGGGGGGGGGGGCAGACAGACAGACACGAGAAAGAGAGAGAGTGAGGGAGAGACAAACAGACAGACAGACAGACAGGAGAGAGAGAGAGAGAGAGAGAGAGAGAGAGAGAGAGAGAGAGAGAGAGAGAGAGAGAGAGAGGGGGGGGCGGGGGAATATCCGGCCATGAAGTACTGACCGAGCCCAAAGAACGCACGATAGTTAGTATGTGCTTCAACCTTCCCTGTCCCGAGATTGCGGCGAGGTCCGCCGACCCGTCAGTGTTGCGTTTTACATCCGTGACCGTCACCAAAACAGGATCTCACACACACGGCTCGTCTGACTCGTCAGCTGCGTCGGAATATTCACCATCTCCATCCTTGACTCAGTGGTCAGCAGAGAGTCTGTACACTACTGAGCTCTTTGGTGTCAGTCAGCCGAAACGGGGAACAGCACAAGGTCGCTCTACATGATCATGATGTACTTTACAAACGCGGCTAGAGGCATCTTATAGTAGTGGTAATAGTAGTGTGAGTTACTGTGTGTGTACATGATACGTTCGCGTCGTTCTTACACCATTCCTTTCTTAGTAATCTTAGAGCGGATACATTGAGCAGGTAAAGTAGATGTCCATGTTATCTTGACGTCGACACCTTTGCTGTAAAATTACAGGTATTATACATGCATGTGTATATAATAATACATGATGTGTAAGTTAACTCATAAGCATAGGATCTTCACACCCCTCTCTCTCTCTCTCTCTCTCTCTCTCTCTCTCTCTCTCTCTCTCTCTCTCTCTCTCTCTCTCTCTCACTCTCTCTCTCTCTCTCTCTCTCTCTCTCTTTCACTCACTCACTCTCTCTCTCTCTCTCTCTCTCTCTCTCTTTCACTCACTCACTCTCTCTCTCTCTCTCTCTCTCTCTCTCTTTCACTCACTCACTCTCTCTCTCTCTCTCTCTCTCTC